TCCAGAAGTTCTTTAGAGTTTTTAAGAATCCACATATGGTTAATACCACTACGCGAGTAAACAGTTTCACAGTATTTCTGAAGACCCTCTTTCACTGCGGATAGAATTTTAGTCAATCTAATGGACAATTCTCTAATGGAACGTGCAGATGAGCCGCCAATGTACCGTTGTTTGTACGGAACTTTGTGAAGTTTAGGTTTCCAATAGAAACAAGGTAAGACCGCCGATTTGTTGTTCAATGCAATGTTCATTGAAGCCATGAAGGACTTATGATCCGCCAAAATCTCATCTTTGTCAAATGATATGTTTTTGTATGTGGGATTACCTGAGTGCTCATTTATTCCTAATTCGTTTACAACTTAGTAAATGACAATAAAACGTTATAAATTTTATGTATTCTGGATTTACCTTCACCACGAACGATCAAAGTTCAAAATAAGAAATCCGAGGATGTATAATTACCGGATCACATGAAATTCATTAAAATGATCGAACGGGACCTTAAAAATAAAATCGAAATCCATCTAAGGTCAGCTTTGTCTGAGGAAGTTGGAATCTAATTTACTTAACAATTTTAAACGGAAAATATAAGAAAGGTGTTTTTTAAATCATGTCAATACAGAAGCAATGACTACTGAACTGTTGATAACCTGAGGACTAACATTCCACTAACAAATTAAAACTAGAGGTATCGGCCTAGTGCAAGACAATGAAAATAACACTTTATAAACGTTATTCGTCTGAAGCACTTTTCTTGATTTACTTTCATCGGGAACGCTCAATGCCCAAAATTTGAAAGTCGAGAATATATAATTGTAAAGTAATAAATATCTTGTAAATTTTATATGTATAAGATTTGAAACAATTTTCAGCAAAACATTTTTTCATGTTTCAAGGTTGAATGACATGTCAACATTAATTGTCTGTAATATATATTAGGTGAAGCTGAAGTAATGCAACAATACACCTTTATATTATAGAACAGTTTCCTCCTTCATATTTAATATTGACCAATTATGTTATGGAAGAAATTTTGGGTGTGAACAATATTCAGGGCAATGTTCAAGCTTTGGTTCGTCGGTGCTCGAACTAACGATCTATCGCGTTCGAGGCAAGTGTAGCGGAATTGGATTATACAGGTTAATTGTTTTGATAAAATTGCCTGTAAAAAATAACTTTTGCCGGTTTTTCGTATATAATTTAAATTTTATAGTTCGTGTTCACATAAGAGGGAGAGACGTTGTCACTTACCATCTAGTTTAACTTTGTCTTACATATTTTTGGATGTTAATTGTGATTTTAGGAAGATAGTTCCGATATTTCATTTTGGAAATCTTCAAATGTTTTTATATCATCCATATTGGTACTGATTCCGAATGATGTCTGATACCGCGATTTTCATTGGCTAATTCTGGGTTAAAGAAAATAAATTTGAATAATTAATTTCATTGGTCAACGGTACTATAAAAGCGGCCGTTTCGAAGTTTAGTTTGTCACTTAGCCATTGAAATTGGGTAAGGTCTACTTCTCTCTCCTCTCTCTATATATAGCCGAGATTTTGTCAGTGATTAAAAGTTTGATTAAATATTGTCCCCCATCTAAGTAGACTGGTTAAGATTAAAATAAAAATGTAGAATTTTATTTGGTAGAACTTTTCAATCGTTCACCGCAGTGTGTTCTTCTGATTCTAGATTTATTTAGTAACTTTGCGATGTTAATTTATAAATAGATTAGCCATATTCGTCCACGTGTCGCGGTGCACTTGACTTTCCGTAAAGAGGGTGTTACGATACTTCAACACTAATATTTAGATAGCTACACTTCTTATTATATAAATTCAATTTAAAGAAAGAAATAAGTTTATTTTTGCATATTTTGTTGTAAACAAAGTACCGATTTATTGAAGTTAAATTGAAGAAAACTTTTTATAGTTTTCTTTTGCCTTTTTGATATAATTATATTGATTTTGGATCTCGTTTACACTTGTTAATTGTTACATGTTGATTTATGTTATTTCTATATAAAGTATCTGAACTTAATAAATCTTGAGTCTTCTCTACCATAACACAATCTCCAAGAGAAACGAACGAGAAACCTGAATTGCTAACACAGAAGTTTGTGGTATATATTTGCCATTGAGACCAATATTGAAGGCATCCGTCGTTTACCGCATTTTGGGTTAGAGAATTGAATAAAAGTACATTTACACTGGTTAAGGTAAAAGTTTGTTGATGTTGGATTTTGTTGGCGATTCTAGGTTCAAATAAGTACTCACGAGGGAACGGTGACACATTGACACCAGACCCTCCTGTTACACAAGCATACTTCAAGATATAGTCAGTGTGGTTTTATGGCTAACGGGAAAAGTAAGCAATACTATGCTTAAATCTTAAATAATATTTTTTAAATACTGGCTACAAAATTTAGTCATTTGGTTACAGATCAAGTTTGTTCTGATAAATGAATCATTATATTTTGAGGTAATAGATGTTTTTCATCAGTATAGATGAAAGCCATTTTAAATTTCTCTAATTTGGGAAATACTTTTGAAATCTTGACGATTTTTTTATCCAGGTATACCCCATGTTAATCACATACTGATGATAAGATAGTATTTTAAATGGCTTTAGATCCATTTAAACACAGTCAGGATACTATTTCGTCAAAACTATCTCCCCATTACGCCACCCAATTTTAAAATCGTAAAAATGGAAGCCATTGTAGTGATAACGCGCTGTCAATTTGGCTCTTGAAACCCGATCAATTTATTCACATAGCGTCATTACGGTCCTTATATGCCAGTTGTATCTTATTAAGACAAATGTATCTACTTTCTATTGAGCATCATTTAATATTCTTTTATGCATTTGGTCAACTTAAAACTATTGTCTGATCGGTTGTCGGGGGAATTTTCGAAAGTTCAAAAATATATTAAAAAATTCTAATTAAATATTTCGTGGAAGGGCAGACTAAAAATTTTCAGAGGTTGAGGAAGTTATGCATTTTTAAGATCCACTTGCAAAATCTGTCGTCAAGTACTTTTAGTAAAAATTTGCAATTCGAACACACCTCCTCCGTTATCATGACTCATTAGAAAGATATTTCACTTGACCCATATATTTCATTTCTTAGTACTGTAAGTTTTTAATGTTATTATATCAACTTATTGCCTAAATATATAAAAATATTAGAATCTGAAGCGAGATGATGTATCACATATTTTTCTTTTGTACGTTTTCAAGACAGAATAGTCAAATCAAACACGCCTGAACATAAAAAGGTGTACTCGACTTTCTCTTTTCGATGAAATTTTTGCCCATTTTGGGGATTTTCCCCCAAAAAACTGTCGCCGGAGGCAGAGATGCAAAGTAATGCTTTAAAAATATCAATCTATTATCTTTCCATGGAATTTTTTTCGGCGGAATTTATACTTATGCACAAAAAAGATCCACATGTATTGGCACCTAACCCAATCGACTGTTTTATGAAAATGTGTCTATAATTTAAAAGTTTACAATTATCTCGAAGCTCTATACCATAATTTAAGTAAAAACACATATATAAGATGCATACAATCCTAAATTATGGACATTCGTTAAACTTTTAAAGCCCATAGAAGCAGATGTAAACAATTCAAATTTACCAACTTGGCCTTGTTTACTCCAGCCTGAACACAATGTCAAATATTAAATTTCTTTTTATCACGGAAGTACTTGTTTTTATTCCAATGCCTGAGCACCAACATTTACATTACAGGACAAATAAATAGGACACGAAAAAACATTATTTGTTATAAAAAGTAAAATAACAAAAATACCGAACTCCGAGGAAAATTCAAAAGGGAAAGTCCCTTATCAATGGCAATATTAAAAGCTCAAACACATCAAACGAATGGAAAACAACTGTCATATTCCTGACTTGGTACAGGCATTTCCTTATGTAGAAAATGGTGGTTTAAACCTGGATTATATCTCGCTAAACCTCTCACTTGTATGACAGTCGCATAAAATTCCATTATATTGACAACAATGTGTGAACAAAACAAACAGACATAATAGATAAAAATGTCAAAACTAGGGTACAGCAGACAACATTGTGTTATAATCATAATCACTATAAAAACTATGACAACTAAGAAAAACAAAATGGCATAATGACAAAGCACATAAGCAAAAATGAAAGACAAGAATACAAAAATATGACCATAGCACAATAACACAATGGCGGGATGTATAAATAGCGAGACATGCAAAAAGGATAAATTCCAAAAATGGACTAAACAGTCAGTCAAGGTTAATAATATACAAAAACAAATAAAAGAACACTATTATAACACGTAATTAAGATGATAAATGGAACTTTATTCGTTGAAAAATCGTTGTTTTGTGTCAATGGGTACCCCTGAGTGTTTATGTCTATTTTTTTGGAGGGGGTTTATTTGAGCAGTGCTCACATTATTTCTAGTTGATCATATAAATCATAAAGACGAACTAAAAAGGCGACGGGCATATCATGCGCGAAGCTCTTCTTTAATGTTAATACACAGTCTGAGAAAAACATGACCTTATGCAATGCAAAAATATAAGCATCGACATGATATGTTCATAAATTTTTAGTACATATTTCGTTATGTTCTAATTCATTAGTAACAAAATCATTGTAGTAACGATAAAAACAATGTATTATCATGATCGTAATACAGTGTTAAATTGCTAAGCTTTTAGTATAAGTTTATTCAAAAGGTCTGTTTATTATTTTATCAGTCAATCGAATGTAAACTGATCTATAAATATTTAAAGCTTAATAAAATACAATAATTTGTTATTTTCATTTGTGGTCGCTTTTAATAATTACTTGTACTGATTTATCAAATATTGGTAAATTTGCATTTTTTCTACCTCAGGTTGATCATCCTTGTTTTTTAATATTATAATGGATTGTTTTGAATTTTTCTCTGGTTTATACAGGTTACTGCATTGCAAAAGGTAATAAAATAAAAATACGTGTATATCATTTTGAATCTCACAATATACATAAAAACAAGACAGATGTATTTAACAAAAACATATATTAACAATCAATTATAAATTGCTGAAATAACGTCATATTCTATTAACAACATCCTTTTGTAGTTTATCTTCTATTTCCTCCCACACAAGTATGACTGCCAAATATGTTTAATTTTCCATACATTTTACTTTACAGTTACTTTCAATCACATATTTTCCTGGTTTCTGTCTGTGTGTTTTTTTTTAATAATAAAAATCAGCTGGCATGATTTCTTTCTAAATGTTTTTAAACGTGGACATCAGATATTGTTTGACTCTTTTCGCTATCATCTAAAAATATAAGAAATATAACATTTGAAATATGTACATACATATTTGTGCGTGTGCGTGTGCGTGTGTGTGTGTGTGTGTGTATGTGATAAATGACCAAATTTCAAATACAATCGTCATCATGCATAGTAAATTGTCACAAAATAGACGTTAAAGCAGACTGAACATCTACGAAAAAAAAAAAAAACTTTTTTTATTTCAATCACTGGAAAATGAAAATTTCATTTGATGATTTACCTTATGCTCATTAAAAGAGGCCCTGTAAAGTGTATTTTTATATAAAAATAAAAAGCTGTGTATTTGTTTTCAAACTAAATGAATAAACAAATACTTATGGCCAAAGGGTGTTATTGCAGAAAAAAAAAGTTTGACAACACTAAGTTTTACTTGGGACAATGACAATTACTTTGAAAATATATTTTCATACAACCTACGGTTTAACCCTGAAAATAGATATTACTCATTTAGTATCATATTTATGGTAAAAAAACAAACATGCCTTCAGATTAAACTTTAAATAGAATATAGTCTTGAAATTTAAAGGTAGCAATTTTTGAACACATAAACTGTTATCATTTATTAATAAGTGTTTTCAACTATCAAGTGACGCGGTGGATTATGTTGGAAGAATTGTGTATTTAGTTGAAGACTTTTTCTACTGTGCGCTTTGGATATAAATTACATGAGGTTACCATTCAAACAGAATTCTGTTCTTTGAATAATTAAATAGAAACGTATTATCTAATTAACTTTTTTACTGAAACTAAGTTATTACATCACGGTTCTGCTATTAGGCCCATGCTGCGTTTATGTTCATAATGTTTACATTGTTTTTCTTTTAGGTCCATGCTTCGTTTTTATATTCCAAAAAGTTTAAATTGTTCTGCTTTAAGGTCATGCTGCGTTTATTTTCCCATTTGTACATTGTTCTGTTTTTAAGCCCATGCCGCGATTTTTCCTTGTTTGTTTAGACTCGTTAGTGACGTTAGTGACGTCTTTTCACCAGATAAGCCAGAACCTTCTCTGGAATTACCTACCGGATAAACTATTGGAGGCGTACTCAGGATTTTCTCTGGAAATACATACCGGATAAACTACTTGGAAGTACTATGGATCTTCCCTGGAATTACTTACTTATGACCTTCTCTTGAATTGCTTACCGGGATAAATAACAGGAGGCGACTTATGACCTTCTCTGGAAAAAATTACCGGATAAATAATAGGAGACGACGTACGACCTTCTCTGGAATTACTCACCGGGATAAATAACAGGAGGCGAATTATGACTTTCTCTGGAAAAACTTACCAGATAAACTACTGGAAGCTTACTCAGGACCTTCTCTAGAAAAAAACTTACTGGATAAACTACTGGAGGCGTAGACAGGACCTTTCTCACGAAAAACTTTCCGGATAAACTACAGGAGCGACTTAGTATCTTCTCTGGAAAAACTTACCGGATAAACTACTGGAGGCGTAGTCAGGACCTTCTATGGATAAACTTGTCACAGATGGCACATATACTGCAATTGAAGGAACACATACGTAGTTAAGTTTGAACAAGTTTTTTTTTCAGTTTAACATTTGAATGTCATTGAATGGACAGAACAAATTTCAATGTTTTACCTTGAATAAGTTTTCTTTCCACCTGTTTTGTGTTTAATCCAGTCATGTTAGGTCAATGGGGTTACTCCGGGTTTAGAGATGGTGTAGAATTATGAGTTGAAGCCATAATATGAAACTAATTGTGTGTTTTATGACATGCAGAACGTTTAATCAACATTTAAATGATCTACTGCTAACTTTTGACATGGTTTTTGCCCATGAATTAAGAAAAAAGATCAGCAATTACTAAATTTTGCATATAGTTCCTTTGTATATCAAAATTTATAGAATATTACTACTTATGAATTAATGTTGAAAGGAAAGATATTAAATGTAAGCAGTTGATAAAAATTACGAACATATTTTATCAGTATCTTATTCTCGTATAAGTAATAGAATAAAATTTGATACAATCCGTGTATTAATATCAAAGATGATTCCTTCCCTTTTTCAGCCAAATACTATTATTCCAATTCTTAAGACATGCATTAACGAGTATAATTTGATACAATACCAGCATGGTAAACAACTGTCATGACTTACAAACAATTACACACGAAGGTGTAAATTTTACTGGAATCACCTCCACTTTAATGCCAATCTTAACGGACCACAGTTAACATGGTTAATATATCTTGAATTATTATAGACAAATTATTCTATGACACTGCTTAGTACACAACTTCATACACCAATATTAGCATCCATTCGATAATCTAACTATTATAACTTTCGATCTACACTACATAGAATTATTTTAAGTTATGTGCCAAAGATTAATTATTAAGGATTAATTAGATGTATTTTTTTTTAAAGAAAAGACACAAACTTTATATCTAAAAGAAAATGCAAGTAAGGTCTAATTAATTGTAAAATCAGTGTCATATTCATCTGAATAATATAAGTCAATAATTTAGTTTTATCTAAGTAAACAATTATCAGTAATGTGCTTGAAACTATAAACTATGTTACATTATTACTCATGAGCATTTTCTACATTAAAATTTATTTATTTATTCCCCATCCATGATATTGCTAGCCTGGGACCTTGTATAACATATAATGTGCAGATAAAACACACAATAAAAAACCTACACATAGTCTGGGAGAACATGATTTAACTATTAGTTGTGGGTTGTTATTGGCTTCGAACTAGCTTTCAGTAACTGAGAGTAATCTTAGCTCGGTACTTTTGGTCTTTTGCTTTTATGCAAGTTGTTGTTTGTGCTTCGTTGCAATCTGATGAGTCGAGCCAGTTCCTACTGATTTTTAGTTTGTTCTTATGTTATGCCGTTACACGATTGTTTCATGTTTGGGGAGGTTTGAGCGCTCACAAACATGTTTCACCCCGCCATATTCTATACGTGATTGTCCCTGTAATTTAGTAGTTGTCGTTGGTTGCTGTTTGTCGTATGTGTTTTCGTTTATTGTGTTATCATACAAAATGTACTTCGGGCAACGCTTTAACACCCAAATAAATTTACCAAAAAAAGCATTCAGTTTTTGAATAATTACATTACATGTATGTTTAATTATAATACGTTATTCCGATTGGCTAACAGCAATCTCGCGTCATTCTGAAATTAACCTTCATTTCAAATTCATGACGACACGAGCTTCAACAATAAAGTCAATGCAAAGGTAAATAAAATAAAAACTTTATAGAAATCGTGTTTTCATGATCCTAGCAAAAAAATGAAATTATAAGTATTGAATGCTTCTTTTAGTAATGTTATAGGGTTGTTAAAGCTATGACCGTGAGCACATTTTTAGATTCCGCGCTTCATACAAAAATGTAAGTTTCAGTCAACGCTTTTACACCCCAATAAATTTACAAAAAGCATCATTCAATTCTTAATTGAATGGAAATCGAAAGTATATTTATGAGAGGTCAATAGTAACACTAAGGTACACATTTTCTGGACCAGATGCGCATTTCGACAATACGTTTCATTAGTGATGCTCAAGGCCAAAATATATGAAATTCAAAAACTTAATACAAACGTCGTTGAAAGATATGTGATTTTACTCCTAGTTAAAATATATTATTTTCAACGTTTTAGTTCTATTCATGACATAACAATAAAATTAAGAAATTTTGAAAAATACTTAAAATTATTTACGAGGAACGTTTACCAGTATAATTATAAATCTGTGAATAATCGACTGTATTTTCAAAGTATTCAAAAGTATGCAATATCTTTAACCCTGTAAAAATAATGTATGTGGTATGCTTGGTTCATTAAAGTACACGTAAAGCCACATCAAAAAATATTCTAGCAACCTGCAGAAGTTATGATATGTACACATACGATGTGGCTAGATTTTTTTATCTTTACGATGTAGCTAGATGAACAACACCGACATCTAAATACGGTACATCATATATTGTCACTGTGTATCATCACCACCGGATATAGGCACCCTTGACCTGGTTCTCTGTTCATTGTCTAAGAAAAACTACATTACTGTACATATACCAACATACAGGTACCCAGGTAACTATACGCTGGTATTTGTACAGTATTGTTGTTTTTCTTAGACAATGAACAGAGAACCAGGTCAAGGGTGCCTATATCCGGCGGTGATGATACACAGTGACAATATATGATTGTGGATCATTTAAGTTGAAAGCGTGTTCAAACTACAGTGGAAAAAAATGGCGAACAGACCAAAGATGAATGGATATTTGCATAAGGCTTATCTTATCACAGACATATTATCAATTCTGAAAAAAAATATTTATCAGAATTATGAAAATGAAAAGATAAGGCATAATGCCAATTAACTTCTATTAAATTTTAGGTCTTTACATGCAAAAAACAGTTTCTGTACAAATAAGAATACTCTGAAATAGGAATAACATTCTCAATAATTTCTATAGAACCTTGTGTAAACACAATTTTCGGTAATCAAAATCATTGCGGTAGTGTAAATGTAAACTTGTTTACTTTAAATTTAAGTGAAATCATAATCTTATTAAAATTATTAACTGTCGTTAAGGATTAACTGGTATAATCCAAAGCGGTTGGTTTTTCTTTTTGAAATATGTGCGTCTAGTCTGTCTGAACAACTAATGTGTGTCTAGTCTGTCTGAACAACTAATGTGTGTCTAGTCTCTCTGAATAACTAATGCCTGTCTAGTCTGTCTGAACAACTAATGTGTGTCTAGTCTGTCTGAACAACTAATGTGAATTAAATAAAAAATAGCATACTAAGTCCAACCAATTCCACTAAATCCGTTGCATGTGAATTTATTGTCACTGAAGTCTGGGAGAACACTATTTATTTATTAGAATTAGCTCCTACGAATGATAATGGAGTTGATTTACCACTGCTCGTTGGAGATCAGGTAAACCAACTGAATTAAGATGTGAATTTTTAAATTAAAACAAGGAAAAAAATGAAATGTATAGAAAAAAAAAATGATAAGACTAGTGGCGAAGATGCTGTTATAAATGAATACATTCTGTATGCATGTGCCTGTCCCAAGTCAGGAGCCTGTAATTCAGTGGTTGTCGTTTGTTTATTTGTTACATATTTGTTTTTCGTTCATTTTTTGTACATAAATTAGGCCGTTAGTTTTCTCGTTTGAATTGTTTTACATTGTCATTTTGGGGCCTTTTATAGCTGACTGTGCGGTATGGGCTTTGCTCATTGTTGAAGGCCGTACGGTGACCTATAGTTGTTAATTTCTGTGTCATTTGGTCTCTTGTGGAGAGTTGTCTCATTGGCAATCATACCACATCTTCTTTTTTATATAAAAGAAACTTCAAATCAGCATATCGATATTTATGAAAATTTAGTCTATTTGATATTAGATATTTGATACCGGATTTGAAAAATTAGAAGGGATGGGCTTTGACACAAGTTACTGTTAAAATGGGAAAATGTTTGATGTGATACAAAACATGTAAAAACTAGATGTGTCGGAACGACACGAATGGCCCCGTCTCAAAAAGTTTTAAAATCTGCAATTTCAACAACACACGTGGACACAAACACGCATGGATAGTATCCAGCTCTCGAGACCAATACTAGTTTGATGAAAAATTTCTTTGATCAATGAGTAGTTAAATAACTATCAGCAAACAGGTAGTAGATGTACTGAAGATGTGTTGAAACGACATGAAAATCAGCATATCGGAACGAAACATAAACTTGATCTGTAACTCATCATGGTAGACTCACATATCAAACATCAGTGCAAAATCTGAAGGCGTATAGAAAAAAAGTCCGCATAACTGTCATTTTCAACAATTTTCAAAGTCCAAAACCCATGATTACGGCAAAAATCAGCAGAGCACAACGAAACTTACACTTGATCTGTAACACATCATGGTTAACTTACATACCAAAAATCAACCCAATATCTAAAGGCGTTTAGAAAAAAAGTCCGTATAACTGATTTTCAACAATTTATCAAAGTCCAAAGCCCGTAATTTCGGCAAAAATTAGCAGAGCGGAACGGAACTTAAACTTGATCTGTAACTCATCATGGTTAACTCACATACCAAAAATCAACCCAATATCTGAAGGCGTTTAGAAAAAAAAAGCCGTATAACTATGATTTTCAACAATTTATCAAAGTCCAAAGCCCGTAATTTCGGCAAAAATTAGCAGAGCGGAACGAAACTTAAACTTGACCTGTAACTCATCATGGTTAACTCACATACCAAAAATCAGCCCAATATCTGAAGGCGTTTAGAAAAAAAGTCCGTATAATGGTTTGTTGCGGAATGACGGAATGACGGAATGACGGACAAGGGTAAAACTATATGGCCCCGACAACTTTGTTGCGAGGCCATAAAAATTAAAAATCAAATACTATTTTTAACAAAAGTATGTCTGATTATTTTCCGTCTAATAATGGGGTTATGCAAGGGGAAAACATGTCCCCTTTTTTGTTTGCAGTAATTTTAAATGATTGGGATTTTAATGTTTACAAAAAACTGTAGAGGTCTTTTCACTGTTACAGAAGAAATAGAACTTGAACTTGATGTATTTCTAAATACCTTTTTATTATTATTATATGCAGATGATGCTGTTTTGATATCCGATACACCACAAGATCTTTAAACACAGTTTAGTATTTTTCATGAATACTGTAAAAACTGGAAATTAAAAGTTAACCTATCCAAAACAAAAATGTTATGTTTTTTTCATGTGGAAGATACCAGATAATTTACACTTCACTTTAACGTACGGTGACCTTTAGTTGCTTACATCCACGTCCCAAAAATTATGACGGCCAGCAACCAACGAAAACCACTGAATTACAAGCTCCGGACATGGGACAGGCACATATAAAATGTGGCGGGGATAAACATGTTTGTGAACGCTAACCCCTCCCCCCTTTAGTAGGACAGTGATGTAACACCACAAATAATAACAAACTGTAACATTCAGTTCATAATTGCTTTACTCGTCAGATTAGCATGAAGTACAAAAACAGCTAACATAAAGTTAAAAGACACAAAGTACCCATTTAAGACTACTCATATTACTAAATAAAATTAAGAATGGAACGGGGAATGTGTCAAAGAGACAACAACACGACCAAAGAGCAATGGTCTCCAAGAATAAATTATCGCTCAGTACAATATAGCTGATTTAGTGTACAGACGTCATATACTGTCTGAGAAAAAGCATAACCCTGTGCTGTTAAATCCATGTCATTAATATATAAAAATAAGAAGATTTGGTATGACTGCCAATTAGACAACTATTTACCAGAGACTAAATGGCGTAGACTTAAGAAACTAAAGGTCAACGCATTGCCTTCAACCATATGGTAAGTTCTAAAATGTTTAGACTGGTACCTGGCCATTATTTGACAAGTTTGACAATATTTGTATATTCCGAAGGCATACTGAATATCATACGGAGGGAACCAAGCTATAAAAGGTCCCACATGACGAAATGTAAAGCAATTCAAACGAGAAAATCAATGTTCGTGTTGAAAAAAATAAACGAAAAACAAATATGATAGAAAGCAACCAACTGAATATTACAGAATCCTTGACTGCAAAAGGTAATTACGTAATGTGGTGGGGTAAAACATGTTTGCTAGTGCTCAACCCCCCCCCCCTCACCTAAGGCACTGTTGTAAAAGCACAACAAAAGAAAGAACTGTAAAAGTCAGTTGAAAAAGGATTGACTACTCAGATCGACACAAAGCACACACACAAAAAAAAAACTAACAAAAACCAAAGACATGAAAAAAACAATAAAAGAGTACTCGATAAAAGACTATTTGATATTCCAATTCTACTAGGTTTTATCACATTTTTAAAATTTTTTGACCCAAATGGAGGAACAAGGCCCACTGCTTTTTCCTTTATGCTTCATCAATACAGCGTCTATTGATCTGAAGGCGGCGAAGAGTAACTGCATGTTTTAAGATTTGGCTACAACATATCTGGATTTCTTGTTTCGTAGTAAAATTCTGGACAATTTGTGGATAAACATTTTCTACCACCTCTACCGTATTGTGTAGATTTCGGGTTTTATTAAGCTGTACGACTTGGAAGTGCATCGAAGGTAAATTTTAAAAACACGAAAAAACTAGAATAGAAACAAATTATAAGGGCGAGTACCAAATGTTCTAAAGAATCATTGGCAAAACTATTTAAAACACCTTTGCACTAACAAATATCGTACTGACCACTGTCCGTAATAGCTGAAAATAGGCTTGGTAACCAATGAAACTCGTCCGATCTTGCATCTATTGCTTCACATTCGTCCAGAGCAGGTGGGATGAAACTATCTTCAACAATAACAGGGATTATATCTTTACTGCGAACCTTATTTTCATAGTATCTTCTCCATTCTTGGTTGACAAAATCATCAGAGATGACGACAACTACCTTTGCTGCACGTCTCAATGCATGCTCTATTGATTCTCGTTTTGATTGTCCTTTTTTGAAATTTCTGGCGGGATAACAGCACACTATTCCAACTTTTGGCGATTCAAGCATTTTCACAACATCTGCAACCCACGACTTGTTTCTAGGTGTGTGTGCAAAAAACGCGTGATACTTTTTCTTTGGAGGCAAAGGAGGACAAGCGCCTCGAATCAGTTCTAGAAATTGATCCCACCATTTAACTTGCTTGCAGGTAGCGTTAATGAACATACAGTCTTTCAGAAACGGCGGAATATTACAAGGTTCGATCAATACGGGAATGAAGACTAAATCGTTGACGTTTCCTCGAGACAAAATTTCCATTTCCATGTTTGCCCAATCACCGTTTATGTAAGTATTCGATAGAACTATAACAATCCGCATGGATTTGTCAATGAAATGCTGAATGTTTGAAGAAAATGATTGGCTCTGATTTTTATCCTTCTCATAGACACAACACTTGAAACCTTTATTTTCTAGTTCTCGAACTACAGCTTTCACCCAGTTTCTGTCACTATTTGCATATTCGTAGCTGAAGAAAACGTGGTATTCTTTGTCTTCTGGCAAAGAAGGTGCTTCATTTACATTGAAATAAGAATCTTTAAAGAGCGACATCGTATGTGATCTTTCGAGTGTTGTAGCAGACTTTTCATTAGTAATTTCTCTGGAAATAATAAGAGAAGTATTTTTAGTTACAGCATCAAGCGGTGAACACAGTTTTTTCCGCCCTTGCTTATTCGGCATTTTGTCCATTGAGATTTGCTTAGAATTCAAATGATTAATAATAAATCCTTCTATAACATCCGTAATACAAATAGAATGTATGATATATTCCGAAATTATAGTGTCACAATGTGTATAAATATACGCTTTCAAATTTGAAGTTAGAAGTTTTCTATAACAGATGGATTCAAAAAGTCTAACACGTCCAGATACACATCATATTATGTTTTTCACAGACATAAACTTATTCGATAAGAATGTTTGGTAGATTTTAATATCGATAATACCGTAAGATATTGTTCAATAATGGCGGTATGTAGGTTTAAATCTTACTTCTGTGGGAACAATTAGCCTGTGACGAACAATCTGTTTTGAACTATTGTTATAACCTTGTTGAATTAACCTTTTTATTCGAGTTTAAAATATTACCTTAAGAAGTATGTGCTATACAATCTAATCCATAGATTATGTTTGAGTTACATAAAGGTGGGGTTTTTTGCTTATATTTATTTATTTTGCAAGTTTTTGAAATACAAAGAATGCAACTGTTTATAAAAACTATTCTGTTTTGATGGCGCGCTTCAATGTTCTCATACACGAAATAATTTATTTGATGGTAAACCGGGCACAAAATAAGATTTTTAAACATTTGCATTTTGCTTGACAAGAACAACACTTACATTGTGGACTTCACAGACTATGCAAACGTAGTCTTCACAGACTATTCAAACGTGGACTTTACAGACTATTCAAACGTGGACTTCACAGACCATTCAAACGTAGACTTCACAGACTCTTTAAACGTAGGCTTTAAAGACTATTTAAACGTAGACTTTACAGACAATTCAAACGTGGACTTTACAGACTATTCGAACGCGGACTTTACAGACTATTTAAACGTGAACTTTACAGACTATTCAAATATAGACTTCACAGTCAATTTCAAACGTTGACTTTACAGACTATTCAAACATAGACTTCACAGACTATTCAAATGTAGACTTCACAGACTATTCAAATGTGGACTTCACAGACTCTTCAAACGTTGATTTCACAGACTATTAAAACTTGGACATCACAGATTATTCAAATTTGGACTTCATAGACTGATCAAACGAGTTAAAGTATATCCTCATCAATCAAAAGTTAAGATAGTTCCAGTTGTAATTTCTATGAGCTTGATTTCGAGTCAGAGAAAATCTCTTGCTGGAAAACTTAATGCAATGCAATGAAATTTATGGCTTGGTGATCCTTAACATTTTTGTTCCTTAATGTATAAACGAGTGTGCTCAATGTCAAGTCAGGCTATAACACAAACATTGTGATCACAGTACTATTCCGTATACTTTGTGCCTATTTATCGATATTTGTACATATTAACCTTTATATAATGAAAGAAGTATATTTGATTTTTTTTATTGAACGTTTGTGAAATGAAAAACGTAATATTAAGTTTGGCGAAATGAATAAAGGACATTTTCTAAATGTATGTATATGATGGAGAGCTGTCTCATTGGCACTCATACCACATCTTATTTCTATAAATGATACACATACGAGGGAGACTGGCCGATTGGCTGTATCAAATTAAGACCGATATATTATACCAAATGTTAGATTTCAATAATGAAGAAGGAGATCTTTCAACAATTTGGCAAGGAAAAACAAGATAAATGAATAGTATCCAATACAATTAATGAAATGTTGGTGTAAGTGTGTTTGTGTATGGAGGATGGATAGAGTAGGATATCCATAACTTTGGAACAGCTCTTTCTGGACATAACATTGTACTGAAAAATTCTATATAAATAGCACTGGAAAGACTTTCTTTTGTCGCATATTCGACAACGATAATATGAAAAAAAAACCGTTGCAGCATTGATTTTTCATAGATCAATAAAATTGAGATTGGAAATGGGAAATGTGTCAAAGAGACAACAACCCGACCGAAGAGCAGAAAACAGCCGAAGGCCACCAATGGGTCTTCAACACAGCGTGAAAATCCCGCACCCGGAGGCGGGCTTCAGCTGGCCCCTAAACAAAAATGTGTACTAGTTCATTGAAAATTCAAGTTTTGATTATCAGGGGTCTTGATAAGTCCCATTAACAACAAAACAGCTTAATTAATTGAATGTTTTAAAATGCACCCGCATACACGGACTATTGATACAATCACTGTTTAAAACAATGTTACTATTTCAAAGAAATCCGTACTAAAAGAAACTTTTAAAACATAAAACAAAATAACAATGCATAATAGATATAAGATGTTAAAATAAAAATACCACTTTCGTTTAATTAAAAAGTGAAGAATCGTAATACTGGAAGTTTTTAGATATAAATCCTACTTTTTATTACTACTGTATTTTTGTACCAAATAGCTGATCACCTGCACATTCTATTGACCGATATTTAATTGTATACTTGTAATTGAAAGGAATACTTTCAGGCTGTTCATTTAGTGATAACGCAAGTATTCTATGCAACATTTATATTAATTTTACAAAATTTCTGATATGTGACATAATATCGATTTTGTACTTAAGCAATGTTTTTTTAATACAGTCAATACGATTAGATAGCACCAATGATACGGTTGTAGTATTTATGCGTCTGAGCACTATTGCTTTGCTGACTTTTTTATACATATTTTGAAAGAAGCCATGAGCATAACGTTTGAACCTTTTTTCACTTATACATCCAAAACCTTATACATTACTGTCTTCATATCGTGCAGACAGAGTTAGTTAATTAAACACAAGGCAATTTGCATTGTTCAAAACAACTCTATAAGAAAATGATAATAAGATTAAAATTGTATATTTGGAAAGGTCATCATTAAATAACAATCATCTGATTAATCTAATGATTTTTGTTGGAGTTTATTGATTAAATTGGCTACAATCCACTCATCACATGTTCATTCAAAAATCTATGTGTCAAATCTTATTTCTTTTGTCAATGCACTTCAGTCAGGTTTAAGTATATATGTCATTGTTTTACTTTGTAACAACTTTAATCGCACAACTAAAATACTAGGTCAGTTGTGATAGCTATGTTATGAGCTATGTAAAGCTACCAATAATATTGGTAGCTTTACATAGCTCATAACATTATAATGCATGAAATACGCAGTCAAAAACAAAATCCCATTTAGGAGCTTTCAATAACTGAACACATTTAAGATTTGAGTAGTGTATGATAAAGGTTTATCAATGACAGTAGTCTTAAGAAAACTAGGTTAACTATCAAACAGATAATTTTCAAGCTGTACGAAGTATTAAGTCAACTACGGTAGCCTACTTACATGAGCAGTCAATAACTGTCACATAATATACGCTTTATGGAATTATATGTCAAATTAGAGTGCCTGTTTAGGAACTGTCAAGCTTTAAACAACTTTAACTTAAGAAACCTATATAAAGCTTTGAATAAATGCTCTATGAGACACTATGTTAACTACGGAAGCCAGTTTAGGAGCTTTACAGTTTCAATACCTCATTTACTTTTGGGGTGATTGGTGATATACTGAAGTATGAAGTAAAGCCCTAGGCACTGAACCTCTTTCTTTGAGGTAGAACAAATTATGGCGTTCATAAACAAACAAAAAAATCACATGAATTCTTATTGTTCTTATTGTCATATTTGCGTGCATGAACATTCGACCTTCTTCCACAAACTAAATATTTAGGTCGATGTCATTTCTGTTGTTTACCTTAAACTACAGTTTCCTTATCAAATATTGTCGATGTTTCCCCTACCAGCTTGCAGTTCTGTCACATTGGACCACTTATACATATGTTTCGAGCTATTTACCAATTTTCAGCAACATCATAGGAGTAAGGACTATAATTCATATAAAATAACGACATTGATAACGTCTTTGTAATAAATTTATATTCACAAAGGAATATTTTCACAAAAAAATAAAAATCATGATGTTTATTTTTGTATTGCTGGGTTTCTGTCTCATTTACGTACATCCCACATCTCTTATATATATTTGTTAATTCAATAAGGACAACTTGTTACTAAAGTTTGGATTTTGGCTATTATGTTATTTACTGTGCTACGAATTAGAATTAGATATTTATATCTGTGCGTATATATAATTCAAACCTATTAGTGAATCAGGAGATCAGGCGTTTTAACTGTCAATGATTTAAACAACATGTTTTTTTTTTATTTAAACAACATGTTTTTTTATTATTCTAGATGTCTGTTATAACAGAATAAATTATTTTGAATTTGAATTCAGGTCTCATATTTTACCGCAGTCACGATATTTATGTTTTTTAATTTACTATAATTAATGATTGTGTTGCTGTTTCCAGTGATATAAAGTTAAAAAGAGAAATGTAAGGTCTATCTGTATAACCACGTGCACTTTCTATGTATGTGGTTTCATCAAATATTTTTGACAAAAATTGCAATGGCATTCATCTTATTTTCATCGGAACTTGGTACTGTTGACAGACGTATTACCTCTCATTAAAGCATGTCCTTTGTATGGTGGTTTCCAACATAATATTTCGCGAACATGTTTTGATACGATGGTTTGTTCGGTCATAAATTGTGCGCTAAGGATTTTTCCTACAGCATGAGAGTGCAGAATTGTGCCTTGGAATTTTACATTGGCGATGGTTAATGTCCTCTGAATGATGCTGTGTCTGGCGAAATGAATTGGAAGCCAGCAGGTGTTAAAAAGCGGGCAAATGTTTGTAGACACTTGTCTAGATATACAAAAATGGAAAACAAAAGAGCTAATGTATTTTTCGGAGTTAAGTGTGGCGTCCATTTCGCTGAATCAGTATACATTATTGTTTAGTTGTCAGCTGAACCCCGCCTCCGGACTAGGAGATTTTCTCACTGCGTTGAAGACCCATTAGGGATCTTGGGCTGTTTTCTACTCTTTGGTCAGATTATCGTCTCTTTGACCCACTCTTGTTTCATTAGACATAAATAAATAATGGTTCTATCGGATCTTCTGCATTGCATAAAAACCGTGGCAAATAACAAGATGGACAGTCTGGTTTTTTTTAAATGACGTACACGTATGCCACTGACATCCTAAAATTGATTGTGTTGTTAAATGTATATACGTTAAAAACTCTGAGGCCAACAACTATATAAATAAATGGCACTAACAAAGCTATAACTTATGCTGAACAGACAAAGCGTTTATGTTCAGCTTTGATTGAGCGGTTTGCAATATTAATTTCTACTAGTACTAATTATTATCTGTATGTATCATTTAAATCATA